AAATTGTTTTATGTGACAGTGGCGTCATTTTTAACCTATCTGTGCCATTATCAGCCAGTGATGGGACAGGCCCTAAGTTACTGATTAGTGATTTTTTTGCATGTTACGTATAATATATTATACCTGTCGGATATATCAGACTTGGAGCGCAGTATGGGGCGCGGGCGGCGCTGCTTGTAGCGCAGGCAGCGCTGCCGCTTGAACGTGCCCAGCGGGGACGTCACCTCCTCGCCCACGCACACCTGGAAACGTTAAACACATTTTATACAAGAAAACAGTATCTGCCTTTTGTATTACCAAATAGAATACGAGTTAGGACTCGAAACTATACACCTACCAGGATCTTAGGTCACTTGCACCGGTTGATAAAAAAAGGGGGGGGGGGGGGTCATGGGAGTCATGACCCCCCTGATCTGGTTGGACAAGAGCTTAACAAAATATATTTTATCAAGCTCTTGATTTGACAACAACTATGTGACCCCCCCAACCCTGGCGCCAAAGCTAGATCTGCTGTTGGTCACTTGTAAGTTTTTTGACATTGACAGGGGGCGCCTGTTAGATTTAGAGTTACCAGTAAACAAAAATTTTTTAACTTTTCATTTTTCAAAACATATGCTATTCTTTTCAAATTTGAATTTGGAAATTATAAAGATGACGACATTCACCCGGAACAGTCATCGCTCCTTCATAGGTCAAAATATGACGCTTTCAAGATAATATTGTTAGTTTACAAAATTGCCAACTGTCATATGGGATACGGTTAATCCCCGAAAAATTTCAGTTTCCCGAAGAATACGTAGTTTTTTTTTTACATAATTCCTATGTTTTCTAACACCGTGCTTACGTAATCGCAAGCAACAGCTAGTTATATATAAACCAGTGAGTATATCATGTTATGTATCTGTTTCAATGTAAAATATAATCAAAAGTCAATTTAATAAATAATAATGTATAAAGTAATAAACTACCAGCAATAGACAAGATAAAATTGTCGGACGTCTGTGGCAACACCAGTTTCCGGGCGACACTCACTCAACGACCGACATCAAAGAAAGAAGCAAATTCTGCGGACGGACGTCCGCCGTTAATCAAAAGCGTACGTATAAATAACAAGAATCAAAAACAATACCTGTTGTGGTGCGTTCACATAGTCCTGCGTGTCGTCGTGCCTGGGCCGCCGCGGCTCCTGGTACTGCGGCTGCTTGCTCACCAGCTCCGTGCTCGGCTCGTGGTATCTGTAATATACGGAATTAAACTTATCATAAGGTATTATATACTATTATAAAAAAACGTGAACACACACTTCTTTGTTGCCTAAGATGTCAGCAAATACAGCATATTTTTAAATAATTATTTTTTTTAATAAAATGCCCTACACTTACGTCACACTTTAGGCTATATATTTTCACGCCATTAAACTAAGGGGGGTAAACATTTTGCATAAAAACTCTAATGTAGGAAAGAGACCACAAGTTGCTGCCAACATCAAGGAAGCAAGCTCGTCAAGGTTTGTCATGTCATGTCATTTTCACATCTGCTATTGATAATTTGATAAATGTAAACAATAAAATAAAATTTTCATAATTTCAAGCGGATGAAGCCGCATGGGAACAGCTAGTACTTCATAAAGATCTTATTACATTAAAGTGCACTTCTAAGACATTTATAATACTATATGACTGCTATAAATTGAAGCAGTATTCTAATTTGAAATGTCTAATCCAATGGTATTCCAGTACTGGATTGCGCCACTGTACTGGAATTGTTACCTGGTGTAGTCTCGCGCGGTGTAGTCGTGCCGGCCCACGTTGAGACACTTGAGCGGTGCTTTGTACGTGCACTCGTAGTCCCCGTAGTCGTACACGGGGGGCTCGTCTTGGAACTGCGGGGGCGGGGCACTCGCCTGGGGAACAAGGTTTTTAATATTAATAATTCATTTATTATCAAAGGTATGGTCATATTCAATTTCCAACAAAGGAAAGAGGCAATTCCGCGTAGACTCTGATAAGTGTGCGTTTCCCTACAATTCCCCTACCTATCCTTTTTTATAAGGAATGGTAAATGAAAAAAATTTAACGACGTGTTGACGGATATGAAAGCGTCGACTTTTCCATCGATTAAAGGATTCTACAATTACGAATGTCTGTGGGCAGCAGTTGCTTCGCTGTTTCGGCGAATTCTTGTTGCCGCTTGCTCGTTTGGCTTACCTTATTTTACTATTTTACGCTTACCAATATTAAAAATGCGAAAGTCTAGATGGAT